TCGGGCAGGCAGGCGCCTACTCTGCAGTGATGGCGAACCTGTGGCCGCGTGCCCACAGAAAGGGCCCGGCGTGCCACCTGTGGCACGCGTGCCATAGGTTCGCCATCACTGCTATAGATCAAAGTGTACACAAAGATGTTAAGAGGTAACAAGTGTAGAGACATTAAATCCTTAGCAAAAAACATATAGATAAATAGTATGAATGGTAAAAGTAATATGCATTAGAATTAAATCTAGTTTGCAAATATTACTAATGGGAGTAGCTATGGATACAGGGAACAAGCTTAAGGGGTCAGAGCCTTCAAGGTAAGAGAAAATAATAAGAAAAAATGTAGACACTAAATAGTGAAAATTGATAAATGAAAAATGATACTCAATCATAACTAAAAGCAGAGACAACAGGAAAAATGTATGGTGAAAAATAATAATAAATAGTGGTAGTTGTTAATGGGATCTATTTATGAATGAATGGAGTGAAATTGAACTCCTCATTCAGTCCCTTGGGGTATAAAGTTTGAAACAGATAAATCCAGCGGGATTCGGCTTTAAGTAATGCAATATTAATATCGCCTTTCCTATGATTTTGAAAGACCTTTCGTATTACTTGAAATTTAAGTACACTAGGTCTGGAATCATGATTCAGACGTACGTGTCTAGCTATAGGGGTATCCATATGGGGATTTAGAATTGAATTGATGTGTTGTAAGACACGTCGACGTAACTGTTGATAGGTCTTACCAATATACTGTAGTCCACAGTCACAGGTAATTATGTAAATGACATTGGTGGAACTACAGTTAATGAAGGAATTAACCTCTATGTCTGTCCCAGTTTTCTGATTGCGTACTTTTTTAGATGGAAAGATGAAATTGCAGGCTTTACAATGCCCACATCTGTAAAGGCCTTTCGTCTCAAGCCAAGTTGGCTTAGTTGGTAGTGGTTTCATATGGCTATGAGTTAATAGGTCTGCAAGGTTTTTGGCTCTGCGATACGTTAAAGAGGGTCTACTAGTAATAGTACTCTTAATAAGTGTGTCATATTGAAGTAATGGCCAGTTGCGATTAAACACCTGTAAGGTGTTGTTCCAATTTTTATCATAGGTCCCTATGAGTCTAGTGCACCCAGCAGTAGATTGAGTAATCTTGTTCCCTGTATCCATAGCTACTCCCATTAGTAATATTTGCAAACTAGATTTAATTCTAATGCATATTACTTTTACCATTCATACTATTTATCTATATGTTTTTTGCTAAGGATTTAATGTCTCTACACTTGTTACCTCTTAACATCTTTGTGTACACTTTGATCTATAGTGTCTATTAAGTCCGGATGTACCCCTCCACATACTCTACTTTACTTCACTCAATATATATTTTTTATTTATTATTTTTTACTCTATGTGAATTTATTATTGCTTAGACATCTCATTACCATACTTTGAATCCGTGCCGGCTTTACCACTGATCAGTGGGAAACCGGCACCGACAGTTTTCTCCGCCCCCTCGTTTGTGATTGGTGCAACATAGACCAATCACCGTAGAGAGCGGCCTTTTTAAACGACCGCCGGCGTTCAGCTCGGTTCCCTTGGAAGAGCCAGTGTGGCGAAACGCGCGTCGGGATTAGTGTAGTGAGCGGGTGGTTGGAGCCAGACTAGGGACTATGCTGCAGCAATTGAAACATTACGCTCCGTTTAGACTACCCTCTCCATTTTTTTAGCTACTAGACTAACACTTTGATTTGGCGATCCTCTATATAGAGGCAACTTTGTTATATGTAAATAGCCATTGTAGGCTTCAGACTATTGAGGGAAATGAGAAATATGATTAGATTGTTCACAGAGAGTTAGTTTTTTCTCAATATTTGACTTAACTTTTGCTACATTAGGATTTAGCTTTATCCACTAGGAATCCTCTCTCTCTCTGTGCTACTAGTCAGCCTCGAGTTCTCCTTCTCTCCTATTTTGATTTATTTTCTACTATTAGGGATCTGTTTGTTTCCAATACCTAGTTATTGATTTTTAATGGCATTCTATTAAAAGTTATGTATTAATATATATTTTTTTTAATTTTTTTTAATGGGTTGCTTTACATGTGTAGGGAACCTTTGGTACTGATTGACTTACTTAACCCTTAGGTGTCTCTACATCTGTTCTGTTCTCTTTTCTAGCTTTGTATTAGTTACTAGGGGTTACCCCCCTTACTTCATTAGCAACCCGATATCATACCCTGGTTCCTTTTTCTCTTTTCTATTTCTAAATATTAAAGTTTAGCTCTATCACGTAATAAGAAATGCCGGAGCTAGATGGGTGTGGCCTACTTTTCATGTCTTGACTTTCAAACAGCAGTGCTCTGGGTGTTGGGTGCTGTGTGCTCCCCTCATGCCAGTCACTCAGTGAATGTGCCCCTTGGGTCATTGTACCCTAGAAGGTGACCTGTGCAACCTTATGGTTGCACTATCTCTGAAGGTATGTCGGCCCACCTGGAAATTTCCCAATGGGCCAGGGGGGCCCTGGTGGCACCTTCATTACTGTACCGAGTTGGTGTCTGTGTTTGTCCCATGTCTTAATGACCAAATCAAGATAAGGACAAAGCAAAAGTAGTTGTGGGTGGTTTTGTTTGAGGATGTTGTAAGGTCTAAGAGAGTCTTTTATGTCAAAGTAAATATTAGAAAAGTAGATGCGACCACTGAAAGTACAAACTAATGTTGGGTACTCCCTAACCTCCTTTATCCATAAGATCTTGCAACAGTCCATTTAAATTTGGACATTTCTGCTTGTATTTTCATTAAATATGATGTAGGAAGGTGTATAGGAAGTGCTCTAAACAAGTATAGGAAAATATACACATTTTGAGAGTAGATATTCTATCCTTTCATGACAAACATTTGACAAAGTTGAGAATAGTTTATCTGTAGATTTTGTAATCGTCAAGCCTAAATATTTTATAGAGTCTTGTCTATAGAGAAGATAGTTCATTTGGTATTTGCGTTAGTGATATGCACAGTGCCTGGGCTTTTCTATGGTTCAAAGAGTAGTAGGATACTAAACTGTATTCTTTAAGGTCTGCAAAAGTCGTGGAAATAATTTTACCATGTCTGTTGTTGAAATCAAAACACCACCTGCAAAGGCACTCAGTTTATGTTTTGTGACCCTATTTTCACTCCCTTTATTTCCCAGTTGTCTCTTATACTTTGTGTAATGGAGTGCCTGTACCCTGAGTGGTACTGTGGCAGCCACTCGGATAGGGACACGGGTCTCGTCACCAAGGATGTCCTTTTCCCACCTCTATGGATCTCTTCTTCAATCACTTCAGTTACCAGAGAAGGGAAAGTGCCGAACCATGGTACAGAGTTAAAGCTGCTAATAGCGGTTGGGCAGGGCAACAGGATCTCCGACCTGGACCATAGGTCAGTAGGCAGGAGGCCAGCAACCACACTCCTCCTGGAGTTTGTGCAAACGTCCGTAGAAAAGAGTGTTTGTCACACTTTGCAACAGAGGCTCCAATACATATAAGAGAGGTGACAAAAGGCATCCCTGCCGTGTTCCATTTATAACTGAAAGGGGAGGGGGGACGACAAGAATGCAGGATAAGAGCTTGTGGTGTTGTACATAGAAAGGAAATGGATTTGGCAAACTGAGGAGGGAAACCAAATGTATCCAACGTCTCCTTCAGAAATTGCTAATTTAGGTGGTGGAAGGCCTTCTCTGCATCTAGTGCTAAGAGAAGGTCTCCCAAATAGTAATCCCAGAGATGGATTAGTGTTATTATTAGTTTTGTGTTATCCACAGCTTTGTGGCCCTTCTTAAATCCCATTTGGTCATTTATAATTAGATTTGGTAATAGTGAACCTAATCTGTTGGCTAAGAATTTAGCAAATAAGATGGACAGATGTTTTTATATTGGATGTGGGACAGTTACCTGCTTTTGGTAACATTATTATGGTAGCTTTTAACAAATCTAAAGGTAATTCACCTATTGACAAGGCTGTTTGAAAGACATGGAAGAGGTGTAAAGCCTGGAGGTTTGCAAATCTCTTATAATAACCATTGGGAAATCAGTCTGGGCTTTGCAATTTTCCAGGGAGCAAATACTTTATCGCCACTTTAATTTCATTTAAAGTGGGCTGACAAGTTAAGATATCTCTGCTTTCTTGCCAGAGTTGTGGGAGAGATACATGCGATAAGTCTGTAGACTATATGATATTCGGTTCCATTTTCAAATTTTAGAGTTGAGTGAATAAGAAAGAACACTTTTCACTAGGAGATTCAGGGTTTAATTTTCTCTCCTTTCTCATTACTTAGATAGGTTATTCTTGTTTAGTCTTGTTGCTCCCCAAGGTGTTGCACCAAGTACTTGCCAGTAGCACGGTAATGTGTTACCTTTAATCTGCTAAATTAATAATTTGTTTTTTGGGCATACTATTGGAAATTGTATTCTGCTATTGGGATAGTTACATTGCTGTGGTGGTGGCTGGGTTTTGTTTGTGGCGTGCTGATAATTTAACAATCTTGTGAATGCATTCTAATCTTCTTCTTAAGATCTTTTTATTTTGAAGACTCATTCTATAAAGAGACCTCTAACTACTGTTTTTTTAGGCCTGCCATAAACTTGGCTAATATCTGTGGACTTATTTGTCTCAAAGTAGTGTGAAAAAGATTCCTCAAGTAATATTTAAGAGCAAAGCATCATTTATCCACCAAGTACTGTATTGGAAGGTATAGCTTAGACTTAGAATTACTGAGGGAATGATCTGACCATAATATTGTTCCTATACACAGTGGTCTAATTGTGCCCATGTATAGGAGTCAGTCATACTAGCTGTAAGTATGTCTTAGTCATCTGTGTTTTCCTACATCATATGTAAATAGTAGAGGTGTCTAAGGTTGGCGATTGAGTAAAGATAAAAGCTCTACAAAGAATGATATCCTCCCCTCCCATTCTGTGCTTATCTACTATATGTAGGAGTGAGTAGTTCCTGTGGTCTGTGTTTGACATATACACTGAGTCCAAGGTGTAAAGTATGTTAAATAAGATGCTCAAAATCATGTATCTACCATGAATGTCTATCAGTTTGTATTGCAATTGAAAATATATATTTTTGTGGATAAATATGGAAGCACATTTTGATTTTGTGGTAGATAATGCAGGAAATTGAGTTAATAGGATGTGAAGAAATGTGGTGTTGTCAATTTAAAGTGTTTTTTGAATGTCAATATTTTGGTTTTGAGGTTTTGTTAGAGAGGTCTAAAATTATGGGTGATCATTTTTAAAGTGATGTTGGAGATGGTGCGTTAAGTGGGGGTTACACAGCAAAACCCTTAGCTTCAACTTGTTATGTTGAGACCACCTATAATTCAGTTTTATATCAACAAGATATAAATGTGTCAGAGTAATTCCTTCCTGCCAAATACCTCAGTGGAATCCCCAATCACCTTTATAGAAACAAATAATAGTATGTACAGAGTGAAGAGAACTGGAGTAATGGATAGTATGAATCAGAAAAAAACCGAAAAAGTTATAATAATTATAGTGTAATATTGTCTAACAATTATTTCCAATACTAAAATCATATGAAAAGCACACTCACAAGCTTGGAGCCAAAAGAACACTTGGCTTGAGTGTGCAGCGAAGTAGGACCAATGTAGGTGGTCTTAACTCTTCTTGGACTGGAAAATTTCTGTGTGTAAATACTGTATGGTGTTAAGAGAATAATTAGAGTAAGTATACAATCACATATCTCCAGATATATATCAGCATTTCAAATATGTAGAAATCCAAGATGCATTATCTTGCACTTATCCACATTAAATGTCAGTTGCCACAATTCTGACCATTTTTCTAGTTTACCTAAATCATTTGTCATTTGGCTTATCCCTCCTGGAACATCAACCCTGTTACATATCTTAGTATCATCAACAAAAAGACATACTTTACCATCAAGACCTTCTGCAATATCACTAATAAAAATATTAAAGAGAATGGGTCCAAGTACAGATCCCTGAGGTATCCCACTGGTGACAAGTCCAAGCTTTGAATATATTCCATTAACTACAACCCTCTGTTGCCTGTCACTCAGCCACTGCCTTACCCATTCAACAATATTGGAATCCAT